GACGGCCGGGTAGGCACGCCACCTCGCACCAGCGCTAGCGCTTTGCCTACCGGCCGGGGGCTGTGCGCCCGTGGACGGCCGGGTAGGCACGCCGTCTCGCACCGGCGCTAGCGCCTTGCCTACCGCCCGGGGGCTGTGCGCCTGTGGGCGGTCAGGTAGGCACGCCGCCTCGCAGTGGTGCGCCCGGCTCGGTGCCGAACTAATGGTATTGCTTGGCATTTCAGCCCCAAAAATGGTGGGGAAAAATATCTTTGGTATAAGAATTTTAGTGATATTGTTGGGCTGGGCTGCACGGAGAGTGTTTTTCATACTTTGACGCATAGCTTGCGGCCGCAATTATAATCCGGCAGCCAATATGCCGTATTCCCTTAGATGAAAAAGTATTACGGACCTTGCTCCCCCCCCCTCCTTCCTCTCTCTGTCTTTTTCTCTCCGCGCACAAGGACTTTTCCCAAGCGTGTCATGATCAGATTTTTAATTTGTTCCCTCGCTCCTTCTGCCGCTAGTGGGGTTAGGGTAGAGAAAGATTCTCATATACACACAGCTGTTATTAATGTAGACCCCCTTTTCCCTTTTCCTCACCCCCCCACGAGCAACGCATTTCCTCTTTTTCCCTTTCCCTTCTTGAGAAAAGGAAGTTCATCTCTTTAACATCCCGTTAATGTCAGATTAAATTAAAAACCACCCCTGGCCCCGTCCCTTTCGTCCTCCTTCCTTTTCCCTTTTATTTTTTTGTCCCCCAATTTACTTTCTTCTTGTATTTTTATTTCATCCCTCTCGATTCGCTTCGCTCTCTGCAGCAAAATAAAAGCCCTTTCCTTGAAACTCATCGCAAAGACGGTTATCGCTGGTAAAGTACTTGGAGCGCAACAAGTGAGTCCTGTTCGTTCAACTTGCCGACCGTCAGCGGTGTAATTTGATTTGACAACGACAGAGGTTCCTCGGTTATACGCTAAGGCTTTGTTTGTAGGAGAGCTAGTCTTATAATCATATTTTCACTATAACAATTTAGTCCCGTATTTAAACTTAGATAGTTCTACATAATCTCGACATCCGATTGTTCTTAAACATCCTCATTGAATACTTTCTTAGTGCGAATCAAAGGGATACAGCGAAAGTGGGGAGAGGATATAGAGGAAAGAGGGCGCAGGGCAGGGGCCGGCGGGTTAGCCGGTGTAAAATATCGAATAAAATTCTATTAAAGTTGGCGGGATTATGTTTGGAATGACTTCCCGGTTGTGACCACACAACAGCGCGGGGCCTGTGAGCCCTCGGGGATGGGGCGGGGCGAGGGCGTGGCG